TAATTAGGTTTCGGATAAAAATCTATTTTATATTTTTATTGCTTTTTTTTTACTGAGGTAGTTTTTACGACCTCCCGCGACCCCTTTGCAAGACCCATAGGTTGAAAAACACTGGCCTATACTATAGGCTTGGCAAAAGGACCCTAAGAGTGGGTGCAAAGACGCATGTTAATGCTTGTCACACTGTGTTTTGCTAGTTAATCATTGAAATGTCCAACTGCCTATCATGAAATGAACTGAATGACCGTGAATGTCATAATGGCCATAATGTGTTTGTTATCACGCGGAAGTGATCATTAATATGAGTTTGGTGATTATTACACTGCGCCGCGGTCCGCGTGATTTCATATAAAAAATCCCGCGCGCCGACGCGTTGTCAAAATCAAAATCAAAAATATTTATTCAGTTTAGACCACAAGTGGCACATATGAAATCAGTGTGTTGCGCCGCGCGTGTTTTCTATAGTTACAAACTGAGGTACTTACCCCGCGTACCGCGGCGGAGCGCGGCGCAGTGTGATAATCGCCTTTGTCTTCATTCTTCACATAAGTAAATAAAAGGACAAAATATTAATCGGTTCTTTTGGCCTGCCTCACCGATGCGAATTTCTGAAACTGTCTTACAATATTTTTTATCAAGTTTTTTTCCAAAGAACATCGCATGATCATAATAGATGTTATGATCACAGATTTATGAATCATACTGTATGATACACTATTATTATTTGTCTCATTAGATATTTCTGCCTAGGTGTTTTTGGAAATTTATTATAAATAGCACTTTAATAAGGACGCTTTTTTGTGACCCATACAAAAAGGCTTACCAACATGAAATTAACCAGGAAACAACTACTCAAGGTACTACTTACCTACTTTTAATATTTTTTTGGGCTCGGGCAGTAATTAGTAAACCCGCAACCTAATCTAACGTTAGTCTGGTACGCGATCCACTAAGCCATCGACATAAACAGCTTGTTGTTTTCAAGCAGTGACTCATGTGAACAACAGATACAAGCCCCTCCTCAACAAAGTAAAACTCGTGACAACTTTAATTTCCAAACCGCATCACAGAGGGAACTAAAACTGTCACGTTTTAAACTTCTAGGCGATGCATGCGTCATCTAAATGCCTCAATTTGCAATTTCTAATCATGCCATCGAAATTTCTAGTAATACAGACGGTAAGTAGATAATCACGGGCACACAATGCTTAGTTCCAATAACGGAAGCACGGCCGAGTGGATTAAAATGCGCCGGAGTCGCTCTAATTGGGCGCTGGACGAATTGATTCCGCGGTCGCGTCCATGTGACAAGGGCATGGGAGTATTGACGGTGGGGTGACCATGTAGAAACACTATAGGTATTGAATCTCATTACTATTGTATTTATTAAGAACTAGCTGACCCGGCGAACTTTGTTCCGCCTTAATGGCAATAAATAAGCAGACTTTTTTTTTGTTTCGAACGGGAAAAAAAGTATCCTATGTCCTTCTCCTGGCTCTAAACTACCTCCCTGACAATTTTCAGCTAAATCAGTTCAGCCGTTCTTGAGTTATAAGCGAAGTAACTAACACGACTTTCTTTTATATATATAGATTACGAAGCAGACAGTGGTTACTGAGTTTGTTGCGGCGCTTCTTCTCAGCACTTGCCAAATGTTGGTCTCGAAGCGCTGGTAGGGTAAAAAGATTATGAGACATGTAGAGGCTCCTTAAAAGCAAAATGACGATTTGTAAGAACTATTTATTAGTCTAAACAAATAAAGAAATTTTGACTTTGACTTTGAAGTGGCATTGCAGCTGTCCGATGGGATAGCAAGGTTTTGGAGGTTCTGGAGTGAAATCCTCATACCACAAGGCGCAACATGGGTGAACCCATAAGGAAGAACTAACACATGAGTATTTCTCAAAAAAAATGTACATTTTGAAAAAAAAAAGTGTGCTTTGAAACAGTTCAAAAGTTTTATATTTATAAATCATCACACAAAAAAAACACACACACAATTTTGAAGGATGAATATTAATCTTTAAGATAACGAAGAATTATAGCTATAATCCTACTTATTACCAAATATTTAGATATTTTAAAAATAGTCCTTTTTTACCTTTCATACAAAAACCTGTTTGCCACCCTAGCTTTTTCATGTATTTTTGTTTCATAAAATGCGATACGTAACTAAATTATTGTAAATTTCTTTGTATTATCGTTCTACAGTAATCGCAGTTTCTGTATCAAATTGATTTTCTATGGGGTGTCATAATGAATTGGCAATTTAAAGCAAAAAAACAAAATGAGTCGCTCTCATTTACTATTTCGTTATTTACTCTTTAGTTACGATTTATTTCTACTTTCCCATGGTTTCTGAACAATTCCGTATTTATTTTACACGGACAACAATAGCTGCACTCTGAATGGCTGTTGGCCTGACGTCTCCGCCATAACATCTATCGCGAAAATTAGTGAAAACGTGTGTGTTTTGTGGGATTACTTTTTCGTAACAGGCAGTAAAATCAGCGATTTTATATAGAACGGTAAGTCTTCATTTAACCATTTTTTGTAATACGTGTGGTACGAACATTTAGTAAGCTTTTATATTTGCTGTAACAAATTTTATCAAAAAAATACTTGTTTCTGATCTCATTTTGTCTAATATTTCGTTACGTTTTTTACGAATTTCGTTACGTTACGAAAAAGTACAACATAATGCTGAGTGTATACTGTTATTACCTGACTAAGCATAGTAATATTCACTACTTAATTTATTTCAAAAAATATAGAGCGTTAATAACAAAAGGATTGGATACTATCTGCTTTACAGAAGTGCCACCAGCAAAAAATTATCAAATCATTTAGATTACGTTTTTATGTGATTACTTCTTTTGTTTTTTTAGGAATGCCGCCAAAAACCAATGCCGAAAGGCAAAACGCTTACAGAGAACGACTCAAAATGGATAAACATGATGGAACAAAAATAATTTTATTAAAATAGTATGAATGATTACTCCCTTATTTTATTTCTAATAAAATTCCCCTTAATATTACCCCGTATTTGGGTGCATACTTACAAATATTTCGAATTGAATAAATGAAGAGCATTCACAATATTTCGCCAATGTATAACAAGCCTTATGGCCTTACTATTTCGTTACTACCGTTTCGTTACGTACATTTTTTTTGAGAAATACTCACATAATAAAGATCACGAACGCCTCTGCAACTGAAGTGCTTTCAAGAATGGGGGGTGTCTGGATCCGTTTTCATTCCCAGATAGGATACGCAAATTGGAGATTGTGATATGAGCAAAGGATACGTATTAGTCCGATTGAGCCATCTGACACCAGGGGCTGACCCTTGGTCCCTACCAAGATATTATGATTTAAAAAAACATATCGAATCACATACCAATTCAATGGGAGGACAAACCAGGACCTACATAGGACTAGTTATGTTTCAAAAGGATACTTTATGTAATTTTCTCTCTCGTTGTGGTGTTTCTTGTTCGTTCTTCAGGGACTTCAGAATACTTTATTCCTTAGATTTGTTGGTCACCCTAGAATCAAACAATATCGATCAAAGTTCACATATAAAATCCACAAATAGGTCATTTCAATGGATGATCCAAAAATGAATTATCCATTCTTATTCTGTAATATGTAAACTTCTGTATCTTACTTATTTACATACATAATAAGTAACCTTCGTAACATCCAACGTAAATTGAATGTCTGGCATGTAGGTAAGTAGTAATTTTTATAATGGTAATCATTGACGAATTATTAAACAAAGATCCACACTTATTCGCTCATCATACTAACGCCTCCACCTACGCCACTCATTAATGACAAAATCTATGGTTTATGATTTGGAAGTGTTATGTAGTTGCCTTAAGTACCCGTCTCAAAATAAAACGTGTACCCGCTATCAACAAACTTTGTCACCGTGACTCGTAACGTCTTTGTTTTTCTCTTTGTGAGAGTCGTAAAAGAAACAGATATACCTACTGTCACGGAGACAAAGTCACTCGTGCGCGCTTACCCTTAATGATTAGTGCAAAACAAAACGTTGGTATCCACGTGACACGATCAAAGCCATCTAATGAGGCATCAGGATACCAAGGAACCGGACGCGGCCATTGACGCTTCGTAAGGATATCTTCAGTTAGCGGATTACCTGCATCGCAGGAATAGAGAGAATTATGCTATTGCATTACTGGAATTCGTGTGGGTAGTTGCACAAACATGTTGCTAGTAAGTCCAAGCGTAGTTTTATAGGTACTTGAAGGATTTTGAAAAAAATGACAACTGCACAGAATGTCGTAATTTGTAAATTAAAACAAACAAAAAATTACGACGCAAATGCGATTTCACACCACTTGCAGTCAATTGGTTAACTAGTTATCACAACAAGTGAATGACATACTACCCACATACTTTTTAAGATCTGTCAAAACGCGATTCTTTTATTTTTTTTAGGCAAGCAGATAAGGATCTATGACATCGTTTTGTCACCAATTCAATTGACCAAATAACATTGATTTTAAAGCTATTAAAAATGTGTTTTCATTAAAATGTGTTTTTAAAGAACTTTTCCTTTGGTAATGTTGGTTATTGGGGTTTTTTTTTTATTACTGACTAGCTTTCCGCCCGCGGCTTCGCCCGCGTGGAATTTTGTCTGTCACAGAAAAACAATATCGCGCGCGTATTTGCTCACCGTTTAGACCTACCCTGGACTACGACAAACATTTTAAAACCAAAATCAGCTCAATCGGCCCAGCCGTTCTCGAGTTTTAATCAGACTAACGAACATCAATTCATTTTTATTTATATTTTTGTAAATTGGGAACAATTCAAACAAGTATAATGATTTGTAATGTTTATTGTTACACAATCCAGGACTTACATATACAATGTACATAAGAATTCTAACATAATTACAACAAGTCAGAGGGTAGAGCCGTCTTCGCAAGAATCACAAATAACATATATTATTATGTTTTACGTTAGGTACATACGTTCCGATAAAATGATCGATACAAAATTACTCTATAGTGATGTAAAAATATAAAATATTTTTCTCAAGTAAGTATTATACATAGAAATTATGTTCAATATACGTTTTTGGATTAAATGTTTTAAACTACAGTACTAACTATTAAAGCTAACCGTTAAACACACTAAATATAAATTAAAACTATTTACAAAATATTACAGTTTATTCGAATATTTATTATACGATAAAATACACTGTGCATTGTCTAAGAAAATAGATTTTAATGCTACAAGCATACATTTTTATTAGACATTTTTATATCAATACACATTTGAATAAAAACTGCCTTAATATACTTGACGCATAAAATAAAGACGTGTATCCTAATATAAACAATTTAATTTAAAACAATCAGATGTGTGTACTTCTCGTTAAAATATAATGAAGAATGTTATATGACATGGCACAAAATAGTCAGAAACAGAAAGTGGGTTCTAATACTGTGACAAACTACATGACAGATGAACAGTAACGTGATATTTAAAACTAACACCGTCACTTATTTAAGTCCCCAATACAGATGACATCAAAATAACAAAAAAAAATACTCTGGAATTCAAAGTTGCCAGTAATCACGTTTAGAACTGTTAGCAACCTTACTCCATTACGTTAAGGATCAATAACTTCATAACTCAAACGTTAAAACAAGATTGAATTCCAAAATACGACAAATGTTTATAAATCACAAAAAAAAGTAGTAAATAATAGTCTAGGAGCTGAGTCCAAGTAATCTTGCTTCTTCGTGCAATGCAACTACAATAGACGTTACAACGAAATGACAAACTTAGTTGAAAAAACAAGATGGCGCTTTGAGTAACGCTTCCGACCTAAATCAGCAAGTCGTTATAACAAATATGTAGTCTAAACAAAAGAATAAGGTATTTAGTGTGGTGACCAAAAATATACAATCTTTTTAGATATTTTTGTATGTTTGTTTGTATAAAAATATCTACAAAAATTGTTATGTAGATCGTGCAAAGGCGGACTCAGATCAGGCTGAGTCGCCGAGACGTGGAGTGGTATACGACAATAGCACGGTAGTAAATAATTTACTATCGCGGTTTGTCTACTTCTAGATCATTCTAGAAAGGTCAGAGTCGAGGTCATGTCCGAGTAAACTTAAGATTATTAAATTGGTTTATGAACTAATATTTAGATCTTTCCTCAGATCTTAAGTGCTTACTTTAAATTGAACAATCGTTCTGTATAGCACTTTATTTTGTTGACATCAATATTATAGATAATCATGATCATTTTCTGATTTTTATTAATATTATTCTCAACAAGGTTCCACTTTCGTTTTCAAAACATGAAGATTTATTTTAACTTATAAACTTTAAGCATCGATGGGATCGACATGTTTTTGAACAGAAACAGCGTTTTAGGCAACGTAGCGTATGCACATAAAAATAGCAGGAGATTGCTGGACAAAGATACCTAGCTAGCAATAGATCAATGAGTTTTGATACTCTATCGCAATCAACCTAGAGTAACAAGTAACAACAAGAAAGCGCCTTGCTTTGTTGAAACTTTGGCGTAATATCCTAAGCCCATAGTCTGCTTTTTCCTCAGTAGCAACAGTAGCGACCACAGGTCGCAACAGTTAATAATTGTCCGCTTCAATGCAAGCTCGGCTTTAAGACCTAGATTCTAAAGTACAGATCCATTCTCCAAAAGCAGCAGTCACAAGTTTCGCATTTACAAAATGATCTGTGCCATTGCATTCTCGTCTCTAGAGCCTACACCCTAGAGTACTTTCTCCCATCGTCCCCTGAGTAACAATGGTAGCAGTGCAAGCGGTTGTTGCAATCTCAGCCTTATCTCAAGTGCTTCAGGTTATCGATGTTTTTCCCCACGCCCATTCCAATCTCGCCCTTATTCCCTAAACCCTAGAGTACTTTCTCCCATCGTCTCCTGAGTAGCAATGGTAGCAGTGCAGACGGTTGGTTCGCACGCGCACGTCTGCGCCCGCGCAAGTTAAGAATAATAGCAATATTACGATACTTACAACCTGCTGTAGCAATCTCAGCCTTACGGTCAAGACTCTAGAGTACCTCTGTCAATGCCACTGCTGTTGATGGCGGAGGAGCAACACTAACGGTGACAAGTTTCGGCAGCCAACTTTTACCCGCGCACTTCCACTTTCATCCTTATTCCCTAAACTCTAGAGTACTTTCTCCCATCATCTCCTGAGTAACAATGGTAGCAATGCAAGCGGTTGGCTCGCACGCGCACGTCTGCGCCCGCGCAAGTTAAGAATAATAGCAATATTACAACACTGTTGCAATCTCAGCCTTACGTTCTAGACTCTAGAGTACTTGGGACTATCGATACAGCAGCTACAGTGCGGTCACAAGTTTCGGCAGCCAACTTTTACCCGCGCCATTCCAATCTCGCCCTTATTCCCTAAACCCTAGAGTACTTTCTCCCATCGTCCCCTGAGTAACAATGGTAGCAGTGCAGACGGTTGGCTTGCACGCGCACGTCTGCGCCCTAATATCTGTTGTTGCAATCTCAGCCTTATCTCAAGTGCTTCGGGTTATCGATGTTTTTCCCCACGCCATTCCATTCTCGCCCTTATTCCTTAAACCCTAGAGTACTTCCTCCCATCGTCTCCAGAATAACAATGGTAGCAGTGCAAGCGGTTGGCTCGCACGCGCACGTCTGCGCCCGCGCGGCCGTCGCCGAGCCGCGCGCCGCAGACCGCGCAAGTGAAGCACCACACGTGGTAGCACAGCGACAGCGACTCGATTATCATGGCGGCGCCGCGACCTGGAACAAATATATCAAATGAAATATTATATTTGAAGGATCATCATCATCATCATCAACAGCCCTTTACAGTCCACTGCTGGACTATGAGCCTCCTCCACTATAGTGGAGGGTTTTGCCATAATCTCCACGCTTGGCAGGCGAGTTGGAGATCGCAGTTTAAAAGATTGATGTTTTTCAGAGAGCGCTGCTGCCCATTCTCTGTTTGATGTGTAGTCCCTAAGTCGCCTCTTACGACACCCGCGGGAAGAGTAGGGGTTGGTGAGCCGTGTGGTGACGGCAGAGTAGAATATATTTGAAGAATACAGGGGCAAAATAAGAAATGTCACAAAAACAAAAAGTTATGTAATGGACATTTAAATTTTTTAAAGTTTAAAACATTTTTATGTGTCGCTTAAAATTATAAACTACTAATAGGAATACATATGACTATTACTTGTTTTTACGCTTTTTTTATAATTTCAAATAAAAATACGCGGGGAAACGAAAATATTGAAATCAAAAATATACTTTTGAAATTTAGGGACATTCCTTGTTTTGCCCCTGTACCCTTCATTTGACATGTCTCATTATTTCTTTGCTCTAACAGACATCGTCATCATTTCAGCCACAGGACGTCCACTACTGAACATAGGACTCCCCCAAAGATTTCCACAAAGGCCGGTTGGTAGCAGCGCCTTCAGAAGGAGCACCTCACCGCTAATCCCCGCTAAATTTTGTCAGTGTGTGCGTGCGCGCCGCATACGTATTGGTGCGCTCACATACAAACCGCGCTCGGGCGTTTCTATGAAGATGATTTACTCTGGTCTCACGCTGCGTTTTCTGGTATGTGGCTATCAGTGCTTCGAGACAAACATTTGGCAAGTACTGAGAGTAAAAAAGTGTTTATGTGGCGTCTAGATTGATTGTTACAAGAATACAAATTTGTGTCTTTACTTTGATAATTATAATAAAAATTCGGTTAGGTATAGTTACTGAATTACTTTTTAATATAAATCTGTGTCTACGTCACTCTTACGTAACAGCCTACTAAGCGATTTTTTTAAGGTGTGAGGCTTGGATTCCCTTAGACTAGAACGATAAATGCATTATAGAGAGTTAGAAACTTGACTCTACATTATTTAGGCCATATCCCAAGGAAATCTTTACACATGTCTCAATCATTTAGGCTCAACCATTACTGTCAATAGAAATGCCTACCGAATAACATTACGGCATGAAATTACACACGTTTTTAACAGATTACACCGGTCGACAAAAAAAATTTTTTTTTTTGCGCATGGATTTTACTTATTATATTCTGATTATATAAGCAAATTTATATAAAAAAGTACGATTACAAATCGAAAATATTTGCTTTATAAGAAGTTATAGCGATTTGAATTTTCCATCTTCATAGTAGAATGTCTCTAAAGATGCACGTCACATTCTCATTGGGATATATTTAAAGATAATTATGGGGGCTTATTCGCAAGAACAAAGGGCACGCTTTCATCAAAATATAGTGCGATTTGAGAGACGACGTTACCAAGGCCAGTATACTGAAAGCATGATAGAGTTAGATTTTTATGAGAAAAATCTTCTATGGAACATGACAGGAAATTAGAACTTCTCATTTTTAATAAATATTTGGACTCTATTTTAAATTTTCTCTTGTGAGAATAAATCTTCAATGGATGTTTGGTATGTTTTAATAATTAGAAAGAATGAAAGAAAGAAAGAAAATAAAATATTTGGCAACTAATTGAATCATCTCTATGTTCATGTTTCATACATTCATTGATATGAATTTTTCTATTTTTTACATATAAAAGCAAATTCAGAACAATTTTTTGTTGTTATTCTTATTTCTAGGTCATAAAACAATAAAAATAAGCTATGCATAACCCGTGCGCAAAAATGCTGTAGACAGTTGTTATTTAAAGAACTTACCTAACTCCTCCCCGCAATGCGAGCATTTCCTCCTCCCGCTGACGCTAAGCATCTTGTCCTCTCTCTCGGGCCTCTGCTCGGGTCGGTCTCGCGGCGGGTCGGGTCGGTCTCGCGGCTCGGGTCGGTCTCGTGGCGGGTCGGGTCGGACCTCCGAACGGAGCGGTCGCTTGAACTCTGTGGGGAGGTGCTGTTGGCTGGAATGATACGACATAAGGTTAGTGGTTGGGTTAATACTGGGACGTGTAAAAGTGCTTTTTTTAAGCCTATTTACAGAAATAAATGAGATTTTTATGAGTTAATGTAACAGAATAGTCTGAGGTACGAGTTTTAAGATCACGGGGCAGATGAAAAAAAATATTAGTGATTGATCTAACTCTCCGGCCATTGTGGAAATCATTGTAGGAAGCCTATTTTCAGCTGACGTCCTATGGCTGAAAATGATGATGATCGAACTCTATGCCCGCTAAAGACCAGAGAAGCAAATGGAGAATTTGATCTACACTTTTTATAAAAACCGCATTTAAATGCATTACAAAGTTATGCTCTAACTCATTGGTTCCCAAAATGGAGGGCGCGCCCCCCAGGGGAGGCGCAAAGACCTTTAAAGGGGGGAGCAGGCCATCGGTGCACTTAAGTATAAAAAACCTGCGACCGCTGAGATAATTCATTCCAGACTTTTCGATACTACGACCAATAAATAATCTTGACTGGAGGAGGGGGGGCGCGGAATTTTTATGGTCGAAAAGGGGCGTGTCTCAAATAGGTTTGGGAACCAATGCTCTAACTTAATACGGTAAGTAATTATATGGTGGACTCAGTAGGACCATGGTGGACTCAGTAGGACCATGGTGGACTTAGTAGGACCATTGTGGACTCAGTTAGGCTATGTTTAGATGGCAAAATTTTGACGCACGTTTTTAAACCGTGCGACTAGACATCGTAGTATTCACATACTAGGGCACTATTTAAGTTGTGAGCCTCGACAACATAACGTGTTGTTAGACGACATCTAATACTTTTAATGAAAAGTTTGACATTTTTGACTACAACCTTATTCAAAACTTTTTATCATTTGAGCACGTTTTGTATTATTAACATTGAATTGAAAATTATCTTGACTACAAAAACCTGGAATTGACTTGCGGAAATTTTCGCGCGAAGATTTATTATGACTTTCGACGTGGTTAATCAATACAAAACTGAAGCGGTCAGCTAAATTTCACTTTTGGTGATAAAGATCTGTCCTTTACCATTGTAAAACGCTAGTTTAAGAAGTATAATATTGTATGTCATTGGCTCACCAGTGAACTTTGCGAAAGTCGTCCAAAATTACTAATAGTGGCGGAAAACATTGATGTTGTCAGAAAACTGGAAGAGAAACCTCGTCATGTGATATATCGTAGGATTGAGATAATCATAGGCATTAATTCCACTAGCAGTAACAAAATATTGTTTGACCATATTATGGTTAATACGTTTTTTTCTCGCTGGATGTCACACAATTTTTCAAACGCTCAATAGGACACTTGTGTCGTTTAGTCCTTGGAAAGGTTTGATAAATACGTTCAAAAAGCTTTAAAAGCCGTTTTTAAAATTGTGACAGTTGACGAATTAAGGATCTATGCATAATGATCCTGAAAATAAACAGCTATCGAATATGGAGGTGTTTTAAGATGAACCAATTCCAACAAAAGTCCCATGCGCTCGGAACACTTTGAAACTTACGGTCGCATATTTTTCCGAAATATCTGATTATATGACAGAAACGTTACTAAATAAATTTAGAATGGTTAATTTTTAATAGTAAACAGCCACATTTTTTTCAAAAGTCTTCAGTTTAATAAGGGAAACTGGCCAGCATAGTCGAATCGTCATTCGTGACGAAAATGTGAGCTTTTACACGTCTCGTCAAACAACTGACTATTTGAACACTCAAAATATGAAATAAACAGATCCAACGCTACAAAATTCTTGCTTGGAATCTAAACACTTCTTTTGGTCCTCATTATATTAAAATTAAATGCGTGAACAGCGATTTATGTAGCCAGAAGCAACTGTCGGTGCGGTCAAAAACCATGCTTTGGAGGTGCCTCAAGCTGAGTGGAAAAAATGCTATGAAAAGTGTTTCGGACACATTAAAAAGTACATAAATCATGAAAGACAATACCAATAAACGCAAGCAATACCATTTTAATAATATACTACTTTGTTTTCATAGTTAGGCTCACAACTTAAATAGTGTCCCACGATCGATCACATGAGCGAGCGTTAACGCACGTCAGCGAGGGTTGACGCGGCGCTCAGAGAAAAAGTCTCTAGACGCAGGCGATCGCGCGTTGACGCGCGCTTTGACAGCTATGTAACGTTCGTTGACTGTTCAGTGGGTCTAGACAAAGTGCAAATTATAATCGCAAACCACTCGAAAAGTGGTCGAAAAGCCCCTTTTTGTATCGAGTTTTGACGGATTCGATTTTAGATTCGATCAAAAAGTGCGTTTTATCTAGTGGGGCAGATGAGCGCGCGCTTCCATCGCAATAGCTTCTTCCACGTCCATTTTCTAAACTCTATCGAAACAGACTGACGAGCTCCTCGCAAGGCGCGTTAGCGCTTGTCATATACTTTTTATAAAAATTCCGCGTTGACCTGCGTTAACGCGCGTTACATGTAAACATAGCCTTATGCTACGCGAAGATCCTTAATTTAGAAGTTACCTGGTGCTAAGAGGCAGCATAGTTTGCAGCTGCGGTGCCGGCATGTCCTGGTGGTAGGAGTGTCGCTGGCCGGCTCGCAGCTTGCTTCGGGACTCCTCTATCCTACGCTGCTCAGCCTCCTGGAGAGAACAGATCATAACAATATAATCAATACTTTTAAAGTAACGCGGGTGAAGCTGCGGGCAAAAGCTGCATAGTTGTTTATGCATCCAAATACATATGCTTAATAAATAATGTTATGATCCGTAATAAGTTTAATCTCACGTGAGCGAAGCCGCGGGTAAAATCTAGTTATTATTAAATTGACCTACATCTTTTTTGGGTTGTCTGTGGGGTGAGTGATTATTTAATTTTGTTCGGGTATCTGATATCTATTTGTCTGTCAAACTATAAACCTTAGTTTAAGATTATATTATCTGTGGTTTAAGTAATTTAAATTAATTACATTTTAAGTTAATTAACTTTAATTTAGTCGTCAAATGTGGCTCAACTTTATAGGGTGTCAAAATGTATTCTCATAATAATATTATGTAAGTAAGTTATTTGTAATGTTCTAGTTTTCATCTTTTGGAGTTTGCGTCTCGGTAATCCGAACGGTAGATTTACTTTAAGGATATTCCAGGGAAACCTATAATTAGCCATACTTATAGTTAAGTTACTTTAAGATTTATTCATTGTAACGCCGTTGGTTCCTAAATAAAATAAAAAAAAAAAAAAAATAACAACTCGATCGAGCTACCTGCGCACCTCACTATCCTACGTTTGCCTCGTCCATATCTGTGTGCCTACCATGAGTTTACGTTAGGTGAGCTCGCTAGCGAATACGTCAAAAAATTATATGAAGATTTTATTTCTTGAAAGTAGCCGCTAGGGGCGCTGCACAATATGTCATACATTTAAATGTCATTTTTTTACGCAGTCGCTAGCGAGCACACCTAACGTAAACTCATGGTAGGCACACAGAGCATTGATGTGACGTCATGGTCGCTATATGCGCAGTTAACTCCACCGGGTTGTACAGTTTAGACAAAAAATGGCATCATTATCAGGGAATTAAGTTTCCACTGCAGGAGGAATCTCTAATTTATCAGAGGCAAATGGAGGATGGATGACTGATGTTCAAATTTTCTTTCCATGTTGCCTCTACACGACATACAGTAAGGTGTGAGAACGAAGCTTCAGAGTCGATTCATTATTTTGAGACTTCTGGTCAGTTGAATTTCAATATTTAGACTAGAGTGAGAGTAGATTTAGAGTGTAAATACACTGGAATGAGTCTATAACTAAGATTGAATAGTTTTGTCTTCTAATTCAAAAATGGTCAAATTCGGATTCGAGTGCTAATGGGAACATTTTTTTATGACAAAATGCGAATGGGATGGTCTGCGTCAAACCTGTCTTTTTACGGACCTAACTTCTTATTCTTCGTCGTGTTTGCCAGAGTGATCGTGGTCGTCACACCTGATCCGGTGGCAAGCCTCACGCACTGCAGTCTTTCTTGTGTGGAGTAGACCATTGAGTGCGGTTTTGTCCAGTAGCCTTATTCACGTGACAAGATTTCAACGACAACAAAACACTGAGTTGTGATTCTTTCAAGTTATCGTTCTATGCAAAATGCCCCTTGTGAATACGGATTTAGAACTGTTTTTCAATGGGACGACTTCTGAACGTCAGCGAGATCTTGACTGTCAAAATTATAACGTGAATTAGGCCACTGACCTGACACTCACTCAAGTGAAGCAAAGATGGATTCTTCTCCACGAAGGGTCATATTCATATATTTGTACGTACCTGTATGAGCCAGTGCTGGTTGTAGTTGTAGGCAGCGGGCTTGCGCGGCGGCTGGCGCGCCTGCATCCAGTCCGCGTTCGAGATCAGCTTCGGCGTCGGCGCCGCGCTGAGAGCCTGCAACAATAACGTTTATTTATGTTAGACCTTTATGCGCCTGGTAAAAACTTATCGTTTAATAGAGTCATATAGTAAAAAGAAAGATTCATAATTATGTATACGCTGTCTTCTTTTTTTATCGTAAACAAGACTTTTCCCAGCTCTCGTTTCTACCGCTGCAACTCCTGTGTACCCGGGATTTAAAGCTTGGACCGCCAATAAAAAAAACCCAACCGTAAATGTACCTGGTAGTATTTATTTATTAGTATGAAATATGGTTGCAATTTTGCAGACTTCAACTATGAGCTAAACTATGTGTTCTCAATAAAGAAAAAACCATTGTGTTAACTCCACGGAATATGAATATAATTGTTTTTTTTTTCGGACTATATTGTCCAAAATAATCATATTTGATTACGATAGATTTTTTTCAGCATTTGCCGTGTTCGTCTCAAAGCCTTAGTATTAAGGCGGTGACAATTTAAAGCTATTACAGCACTCACAAACAGAACCAACAGGTCTTGTTTGCTTTTCAGTACAGACTGCACCATAATCAAACGTTGTTCTGCACTTGAGTTAGAATTACACTTTTACTTCATTCTGCAGTAGAATCAAACACCCACCTGCAGCGTATGCCTGGTCATCGGGTGGTACTGCGCGCTGTTTCCATTGGCCACTGGCTTCTGGCGCAGCTGGACTGCTGTCCGGTCCACGTTGACGTACTCCACGGCTGAAGGCACACGACTGCTCCTGAAATATTGAGGGGATAACGTAAAATTTCGTTTCGTTTCTTTACGAGATCGAATCAGAAATGAGGATCATCATAATCGAACTAAAGACGCTGACATAGCCCGACGGATTAGCAACCTGAAATGGTAATGGGCAGGGCATATAGTACGCAGCCGATAGGGCAGCAAGGTTCTGGAGTAGAGGCCGCGTACCAGAATCTCAACGTGGGACGTCCACCCACAAGGTGGACCGACGACATCATAAAGGTAGCAGAAAGGCGCTGGATGCAGGCCGCCACAACCGGCCATTGTGGAAATCATTGAGGGAGGCCTATGTTCAGCAGTGGACGTCCTATAGCTGAAATGATGATGTTGATGAACTTAAAATAGCTGGTATAGTAAGTACATCAACATTTTGTTCTCGAGGCAAAGCTCATACTTAATTGTGTTATAAATAGGTATTAAACCAAGTATTGCCTATTATCATCAAATTATTACGAGCGAGCTAGATAATCAGTGTTGATTCATTAATTCATACTTAATTGACATTCTTCGGTATTTAGCATTATAACGATAGCATCTATCAATAAAAACAGGAAGCACAGTAAGTTTTATTACGATGATGAAGAACGATAGTACTTTTTCGAACAAGACTGGCATAAATTATCTTTCTTTACCCAATTTATTTTTAACGAGTACTTAATCTACCAGCATTGTGCAATATTACTAACAGAGATAGTATGCTTTCAAAATATTATATCACGACTGAGGTATCGCCTACTGGTCCATCTACTATACAATTACTAATTTCTCCAATGATTTTGATTACAGTCATGTTCTACCTACCTGAATAATAATTTTCTAAGAAACAAGCAAGACGGTACCTCATAAAGGTAGCAGGAAGGCGCTGGATGTAGGTCACTACAAACCAGTCAGTATGGAAATCATCAATCATATCATCTATGTTCATTCTGTGGCTGAAATGATGATGAAGAAACTAGCATATAAGTTAGCTTAAGAACTTACCTCATAGTAATCTCTCTCTCAATAGACTCCCGGGTCTTCGGTTTTGGAGGCAGCACCGGTTGAGGCGGCCTCACGCTCGGCACCTGTCTCCTCACCGCCTCTCCAATCTTGCGGTCCTCATACAGAACCTTCCTGCTCTCCTCAACACCAAAATGCCTCTGTATGTGCTCCTCTGACACAAAAGGCTTCCTCTTCATGTTCTCATCAAACGCTGGCCTTTCAGGAATAGCTGGCACCACAGGAGTATAACTCTCGTTAATCAAAAGATTTGGCATCGAGTGTCTGTAGTTCTGGTTGGTCGACTTCCCAGGTCTTTGGAGAGGCGGCTTCTCTGGCGTATTTGGAACTGTAGATATATCCTGGACAGACTTCTGGATGATCCTGTTCTGATCTCTAAGAAGGTTTTCCCTCTGCCTTCTCAGTTCTTCTTGTTCCAACTGCAGCAGTTCTCTTTCGAATCGCAGCACTTCCTACGTTGGATTATGAGACGTCAGTAAATTGGTATAGGTACGATTTTAGTGTGGTTAGTTCACGGAGTTGGCGTTAGTGTTAGGCAATTTTGGTGCAATGCTGAAGCTAGCGTGTTTAGCACAATGATCGTTAAGTCGACGCATCGGTTCACGTGGTGTGGGTGTGATAGTCATTTGTTAATATTTACATGTTTAACCATGTAAACCGTTAATGTAAACAAAAGGCGATTCACAAGCGACCAAATCTCACAATCTTTGAACCAATTTATACTTTACGGCTCAGAGATAGGGTTCGTTTGTGTAAAGCCTTGTTAAAGTGTAAAATGAGTCAATCACCTTGGTATGAGCATCGTCAACGTGCCCGTCAGGCCAATCCTCGTTAGTGCGACACGCCTGCAAGTACACGGGCGGCCATCTTGTTTAATGTTATTTACACACACAAAATGGCGGATGAGGTTATTGAATGGAATGCAGTTTCCAACGATTTTTAGAACAAAGCTTTCATTTATTCCTATAGTATAGATTAAGATTAAATTATTGAATTATAATAGAAAATTAGATAAATAAATTAGCGATGGAAATTGCATACAATGAATTATTGTTCTTTCGTACATAGGTATTGATTATCAGTTTATAGTTATAACTTTAATTATTTAAAAATAAAGTTTTGATATTTTTCAATTCATGAGTAATAAATATATGTAAAAAAAAATTGAAAGAAAAAAATGATTTTGAAAAATGCAAAATTATAAGAATAGTGCAATGCATGCACGTGCATTAAATTCTACGCAATAAGTGCAAGGAAATAAAAGGCAGGACTGACTACTATAAATAATATTTATTTGGAAAGAAATTTTAACATACATAATAATAATCTAACCAAAACTACTCATTGTATATAGCATACTCAAAATAAAATAACTAAATCTCAGAACTTAGAATAATAATATTAATCAAAAAATATTTTTGGTGTATTTTAATAAATTTAGAAATCTTACAATACAGAAAAGCATTAGAAAGCAGGATTAGAATTATTGTTAATAACGCAGCATTACATAGAAATGACGATTTTAACATCATAAATTGGAAAGTATCGAAATTAGAAATAAATACATAATGCAACTTTTACTCAATGTATGATGCTGAAAATTGGATACAAAATAAATCCTTACGTAAATAATAATTACAACTAAAGTGCTTTCAAAGCATTTACAGTGCATTAACCATACCCAATATAATAAAAATAAATTCTAGCAGTTGACATAAGTGCATAACAGTGATCAGTGCTATCAGTAACAGCCAATTATGATTCGAGAATATAATAATATAATCATCACCATACGACGCTAAAACTACTCTACGAGATCTACTTGGTTTGTGATAATGTTTAACAACATTAAATAGCCTAGCAACCCGAATTGAATTACCCTTAAAGTTTAAAGCAAGTAAATTGAAATCATTTACCCCCTATTCATAAAATTTGAAGACATCGTTTCAACTATAACTTAGTCTCTTTTTATCACAGCAAAATCTACATTTGGCAGAAGAAGACAAAGTTAAAACGGTTCTTGAGTTGTTTTTTTTTCATGAATAAGGGCGTATAATAATATGTAAATTAAATAAGTAGAAAACTAATTTTCCATTCAAACTACCCTATAAAACTGTGGACCTAAAATGGAACCTTGCGAGAACCCGAAAAATTCACCGTCTAAAGTTCATAGCAGGATTGAGGAAGCGTATTCATTGCGGCGTTACCTGTTGCTGCTGTATTTTTTTGTCCAACGTGTCTATTTTGTCATCTGTTTGTGGGGACTCTGTCAGTTCTGTCAGCTTTGTATTTAGGTTGTTGGTGAAGGTCTGCTCTTTCTGTTTCTTCGTTGACTCCTCCTCGTCAGATGTTACTGTCATTTGTGTGTACGGCTGAAAAGTTTAATACAATTGTTATAAGACTTTTGATAATGATCAAGTCACGGAATGTGTAAATAAATGAAATTTTAATTTATTTTACAAAATTGTGTAGGGCTCTTCTGAATAATCTTCTATCTTAATCTTTACGTAGATTATTGATCTAAGTTGATAATAAAACGATTATTTTATATAAGGACAGTAAAAAAAACTCCACACACAAACACAACAAAATAAAATTATAATTAAGGTACATTCACATTAGGGTGTCCCGAAATATCTTTTTTTATATTTTCGCTACACAAGACCCCTCAAAAGTTGCGTCATAAGATGTAGATTACCGTAAAAATAATTAAAAAAATATAAAATAATGTCTCAAGGGCTCTACCGGCATTTTTATGTCTCAAAAAATCACTTAATCAGCCCTTCACTGTTTGTCATCTATTATATTTTTTTCACAATTATTTCATTTTATTTTGTAATAACAGTGGCAGTTGAACCCTAAGATATGATTTGCAGGCAATGACAGACTGTTTCCAGTGAGGAGTAGGTTTGGTTCGAACTAGCAGAATTCATATTTTGACTTGTTTTTCTCAAATTTTCTACTCCTTCGGCGAGGCTGTTGGTATTATTTCTGTTGAGGTTTTATTGCTGTAAGGTATCGCACCGCACTTTTTTGTTATAATATTACATAATTTTAGCATAAATTTAACAAAAATTTAGCAATATATGGCAGTAATATACTTTTTGATTTTTTTCAGGTAAAAACTACCTAGCCAAAAATCTTTATAATATTATATTTAAACAGAATACTAATTGACATGTTAAATAGTTTTAGCATACTATTAAATATAAATAACATTTATGTACGTTACATACACTTTCTAGCTGAAGTTTTTGTTGTCTACGCAGTTTTTTATCAATGGTGAACTTCAACGGAAGTAAAAATATATTTTTAGTTATGAAACGCATACATGTTATATATCAAATTAAAGACAATTTAATACACTTCTTTGGCTCGTGTAAAACTTTTAGTAGAGTATAAGACATTTTGTGAAAAAATGATTTAAAAAGTAGTATCACAACAATGTAAAAAAATTCAATTTTCATTTAATTACTAACTAAAGGTTGATTTTCTCGATACAATGCATACCACATAATATCAAGCGCACACGTAGAGCTATCATTTAAATAAAAAAGTAATGAAATCGGACAAATGGTTTTCAAGTTATGGTTGATTTTCTAAAATTGACTGCCATTTTTGTTAGCTTCCACTTAGAGATGCCAATCATTGTTTTATAATAGCGTAATAAAATTATTAACCTGCTGTGAGAAGGGAATTGAGTATCCTCAAATTAAATCGATATCTTGGCTGACCCATGGATTAATTAGGAATACATTAAAATCGCGCGCGTAAATGCCTAATTCTGGTCAAAAAGCCAATTCTGTTTTGAAAATATTTATGGATTTATTGGTTTTTAAACTATTTTAAACGTTGCTGTGACTCATTGTGTACCCTCAAATTTCATAAAAACGCTATTTTTGTAATATTAATAGTTTATGTTAGGAACCCCTAAAATAGCAATTTAATTTTTTTTTAAGGACAGGTAGAGGCCTCAAGATGACTGATATCTCATTAAATTTAATGCTAATCGTAATCTATATGTCAAAACGCAACTTTTGGGACCTCTTGCGTAACCGTAGCTTAAAAAAAAATTTTTCCCATACAACGACGGGACACCCTAATTCACATTGCTATGTGGTAAGCAAAATTTGTACAAGATCGTGAGAAACCACAAACATGTGACACACAGCAATAGGTATTTATATAATGTGAGAAATATTTACTCAAATTAAAAACAAAATGTACCTCACTATTCTGTCTGCTATGCGGGCTGGAGGTTTCTGGCGACGACTGCCCTTTATACCAGGCCTCAGCTGATGGTCCTCTATCCACGTCCACTCCCGAATCCCTGCTCTCCCTCAACTTGGCGTCCATATCGTGGGACAGGGTTTTCTTGTACAGAAGTTTCTCGATCTTTGTCTCCTCTTGAAGGAAGGAGGTGATATCAGGACGTGGAGCGAGGGTCAGGTCAGCGTCCAGATAGCTGTCGTCTACTTGACCCTCAATGCCGAGGAAACTGGTGCGCTTGTTGCGGATCTCTTTCTTGATGCGGCGCGCTGAGCTTGTGTGTTTGAAGTTGCCCTGGAATTGGAAAATAATTTGACATAAATAAATCTGGACTTCTGTACTGTTATCGGAAGATGTGAGGAGGCGCGTTTAGTGGACCGACGACCCGGTGAAGGTTGCAGGATTGGATGCGGACTAGGAATATATCATGGGATCTATGGATGGGCATAGGTTACCATTGTTTTTGAAATGGAATCCTTTCACTGAATGACTTCATTGTGAGAAACGTGTCTACTTCAAAACTAACAGGAAGGACACATAAGATCATGTCATGGTTTTGTTGTTTCTCAACATTGGCGCTATTTTATCAAAGTACTTAGTATTAAATTAATATAACTAGGATTTCCTAGAAAATGTTAGAAACGCACAAGTCTGGTTTACATTATCTAAGTCAGTTAGGTTAAGGGTTATTCACAACATGTATTTAATTGAACTATAAATCGATTGACAACACTAATTAATTGTGGAAAATTACTTTAACCTTAAAGATAAAAAGACTGGTAAAATGAGAATAAATAAAACACTCACATTTCCAAGTAGTTCGTCCTCCTGACCATCATCAGTCGGCGGTGGCGGAGGCTTCTCTTTTGGTGGCTCCAAGACATTAGTTGGCATATCTAGTGGAAAAGCTCCAGCCCCATCCGAGCTGTTCTGATAAAAGATGTCAATGTTCTCGTACAACGGTGGCACTGGTTCAGGTATTTTACTTTCAGTGCCAAAATCAATAAGAGTCTCCACTTTAGAGTCGACAGACTCAGTTTTAGTCTCACTTGCACTAACTTTGGAGTCATCCATGGCTTTGCTTTCGTCCATACTGTCCTCAGAATCTAGTTCTTGGAATGCCAACTCAAGAGCGTCAATTACCTGCGAATTTTATTGAATAATTAATACCATTTTTTGGTTTGAGCTGCGATACAATAAAATTGAATTTAAATCACAAATAAAATCGTAAAAAGCTAAAACCAAAAACACAAAATAACAACATAAAACTCACTTAAAGTAACAGGAGAATTCAGATTAGAAATAAAAGTAGTAAACATGCGAAAACCATTCGAGCGAGACGACACTTTTAGCACAACACGACATGCGGCGCAAATGAAGGTTAAATGAAGCGAAACTACGCAAAATGTCCATATCTTACCTTACATTACCCATCACCAAAGCTGACGTAAACCTAGCGTTTATCTATAAGTTATTACAGTTTAATATTCAATATTCAGAGCGCAGCAGTTTCAAAGAGGCCTACGCTGGCTAATACTTTATCTTACTGACTTAGTGGTCGCATTCACAAGATAAAATGTATTTGAATAACATACGTGATACTCCAGATAACGTATTATCTATAGCTCGAGTACTTCACTTAGATTTTCCTATCATTAAAATTTATAAGCCGACACTGATTAATGCCACCTGAACTATAATTAATGATACAGATATAGGTTGATATAAATACATAAATAAAACTCGCACATAACAGTGTAACATATATTTTGATAAAATGAATTTACAAATATCACGTTTCTGAATAAATGGTCTAAAATGATAGGGTCTACAGCTAGATATAACCTGGACTACGTAAGTATATAAATAGGATATATTATACATGTGACGATAATTATACGGATACTACAGTTCATAACCCTGTTGAAATAAGTCTAATTACTATAGTCGACTAAGTATTGAATGAATGTAATGTTACGAATACTTATGATTCGCTAAGTGCTAGGACTTTAATGAGTATAATAAATATTTTAGCACGTTAAAATGATTTAGTAAACGATGAATTTGGTTTAAAAAATCTACATCGAATTGTTACTGACGGACATAACAGTTAATTAGTAGTTTCTAGGTGGTCATTTACGTGGAAGGGTAATTAAATAAGTGTTTATCTGGCGCAGATACGGTATTATGTGTGGTTGTGGTTACAGAAAATTCGTAGGTGAGATCAAGAGATCATAAAAATCCTAGAAATTACGTCCATTATCAAGTTCTCTCATCTATCTTGCTGTCTAACAGCAATGTATGAGAAAAGAATAGACTAGAGCTAGAAAGATGTTTAAAGGTTTACCCCTAAGCTTTTCTATTTATGCTTGTGTGGTATCTTTGGCACTTAGAGTACTTGTATTAGTTATAGTTTGCTTTGTCGTTACTTTATTGTTAATGAATAGTATAGTTTTTCGTCTATTTGGTTCAATGCGACGCTTAGTTCGTTTCTGCCAAAATGGATTAGAATCTTGTGAGCTACTTACCGATACGTCGCCGTTTGTTGTCACGGCATTCGTGGTCTGATTGGCAGTTTCATTACTTTGATTGTTAGATGTAATTACGCGATTATTACTGACTGTGATTTGATTACATGAATCACGAATGTTATTTTCAGTAGTACATTCAGATGTTACATCAGCATGTTGGTTAATAAGCGAGATATGGCTATCGGTTAATGTTTTTAGCGATTTAATGGAATTTTTTGGCGAAATGTTAGTAGTAGTTATAATATTAGAGACAGTTACCATTGGCATGCTCTTGTTAGTATCATTAGTAGTGCTAGTTTCATTACAGTTAGAGTTGTTCCCAGCACCAGCTTTCATATTGTTGCAAATTTCATTCAAGTTTAAGTGTATAGTCATTTTCCCCTCAAACACCACCGTGTCGCCTTCCGATGCAGTCGAGACAGGCTCATTCAAACTTACACTAGTATCTTGATTGTCCAAACTCTTAAGAGTATCTTCGTCTTCTTTGTCCAGCTGTATTTCGGTCACTTCTTCAGTGACACTCAGTTCTTCTGGCTGTGAGACAGCTTGAATGTAGTTACTTCCACTGTCAGTATCCTCAGCTTTGCTGTCTTGCTCCTCAATTTCCTCAATAATGATATCCTGAATTATAGTTTGTATAGTTTCGGGAACTTTCTGTTCCATTGGCTCTTCAAGCTTAGTAGGCTCTAAGGGCATTCCACTGTCCTCATTGGACGACTCATATTCTGAAACTTCAACCATAGGTTCTCCTATAGGAGAAGCTACTTGAGTCAAGTCTGCAATGTCATCAGGTGGCACGCAGGAATCTCTTGCAGTATGTATACCACTGTCTTCAGTTTCGATATCACTTGGAACTGTATTATTCTGCATTTCAGCGCAATCAAAGTCCTCCAAACTTTGAACTCTTTCAAAGGAATTTGGAGAAGACTGTCCGTTAATATCCAAACTATCCAAGGAACGACAAAAACTCTGCATTTGGCTTTCTATGCCAGACAAACTATTCTTCAATGAGCTGTCTGACATTTTGTCCTGAGAATCAATATCTGCTTTGGTTTCAACCTTATCTTTATGTGTAAGTTCTTCTTCTACAGAGATTTTGGGAATATCTTTGTTTTTAGCTGCGTCAAGACAAGATAATCTTTCTTTCAAGCTCATTGAAACTTCTTTGACTTCAGTTTTCGTTACTTTAACCTCTTCTTCAGATGTTTGAGACTTGAGGCTGGAAAGACGTTCTCTCAAAGATTTGGCGTTACTTAGATCGCCATTAGAAAGCCTTTTTGCTCTATCTGGTTCAACTGAAGCAGATTTGACTTTCTCAAGTGACGAGAGACGCTCTTTTAGGGGTTTCACTTCAGTAGGTAACTTTGTCAGGTCACTCGTAGACTTCTGTACGTGTGTTTCTTCTGTGAACTTTTCTAAACTAGACAGTCTTTCTTTAATTGACTTTTTGTTAGCAATATCAGGTAGTTTTGGTTTGTTAATTTGTGACTCTTGCGAATTCTCTCTCTCAAATTGTTCTCTTCTTTTATGTATATCGACTTTTGGTAAGTCCTTCTTCTGATTGTTGTTTTTTACGTCATTAGATCTTTCCTGTTGGAAAGATGAGAGTTTTTCCTCAATCTTGTTGCTTACGTTGGTTCTGATTCGGTTTAAGTCGCCGTTGACTTTGTCAGGGGACTTTTCTTTGAAGTTGTTGTTGACAACGGTTTTGACGATGCTGCTGTTAGTTTGTGATATTATCCTGGATTTGTAACCTTCGATGGCTCCCTCGTACGTGTACTCCTCTGGTTCTGGGGAGCTGATAGTGGTCGTGGTGCAGGTGTCGTATTCATTGGCGCTCGAGCCAAGCTTGCGATTGTTGTCGCAGTTGGAAAGGTTGTCGACGTCTGAATGGTTCTTATCCAGGTCGATACCGTCGCTCTGGAAACAGAACACGGTACTCTGAATGATTTGACACTCATTTTTAGTTCAGTTACTCTGTGACTAATATTAGCTGTAACAGTTACGTGTTAAGAATTTAAGATAATGTGCAAAGTAAATATTGACTTCACAAGCCGTTTGTGTTCAGACTACAGCTAATGATGTCATTATTATTAGCTTTACTTCGTCTTACCCAAATTTTGGTCTTTCGTGGACTGGTTTAAGGTACATTTTGGGTACAGTAGAATCTCGAGTATCCGGATCAATTAAAACCAGGGATGTTTCGGATAATCGAAAATCCTGATAATCGATTTCAAAGTAAAATCAAACAATAATTAACTTTTTACAGTAGAAAGGGTTTTCAATACATCATTTTAGACCATTGGATGAATCCATTTCTTGTAACAATTAACCAAGACAACGTCTGTACCGTGTTAGGGTGACGGCGCCTTGCCGTTTTTATGGGTCCAGACCCTAAATCGGTAATTAGAATCGTGAAGAATGAGTCCGGATAATCGGATATCCGGATAATCGAGATTCTACTGTACATAAAACTTTATAAAAAAAGTAAATAATCTTATTATATAAAGACTTTTAGAAGTTACTTACGGCCAAGCTGTGCGTGTCGCAGTCCTCGCTCAGGCTGCTCTTAGTGCTGGAGGTGCCGATCCCCAGGTCGCTCAGGTCGTGGCCATCGTCGTCTGTGTAGAGAGGCAGGTGGTTCTTCCTTCTACGGCCAGCTCTGGGAACAAAAGAGTTGTTTGTTAGTTATTTGAAATACTGTCATTTTAAATCAGGTGACAGAACATCAGACTATACTTTGGTTCCAGTTTTTGACCGTAAACGTTTGCTCTTATATTTTTTCTGATTTAATTCATTAAAAGTTCCAAGACAGCTATTCCAGGAACTACTCAACCTTTACTGGTTGGGTTACATTGGAGGCCAAACTGTAGATCCCGGCTATACACTTAACAGGAGTGGAAGTGGTGGGAAATAGAGATATGATTAATCCCATACCACATCAGACTAAATTTTTGTGGAAAATACGTATGTAGAAATTTCTGTTTAGGAAAATGTTTATTTTATTTTTTAAACAAATGTACGTATAAGTACCAAGTCCTTGTAATAAGTATTACTGCTATTGACATAACACCATCGCAAAGGAAACCGACAGTGTTTATCTTTAAGTGTTGCATGCATTGAATCACTATACAAAAATGCTCCAGACCTATTCCTAGATGCGCAGTCACCGGTCAGCGCCTATATTTGACGATTTAGTCAGTGTGCGTCATTCTGTATGTTTGTACGGCTGTGAGTTGTACCTGGGTTGCGTTACGTTGTATTTTATATTAGGCTGATTTATTTTTATTGGGTACCGAAATAAAATAGTGATTGAATAAATCCTTGGACGTTTTTACACTGCGTCATCTAATTCCAAAAGGTGATACTGTGCGGCAATCAACCCGCGACCTCTAGCATAGTAATCCGATACTCAAACCACTAGGCCAGTCGGACATCGAAATGAAATGGACTTCCTTTGGATTCAAAAACAGTTGAATTAAAATTAAAGTCATTAACAGATACATCCATCAAAAAATATTAACCTAAATCTGATGACGATATAATAAAACGTTTAAGAGCGATTACACAATATGTGAAATATTTACCAATGACACTTGAATCAATATTAAGTATATTAATCTTAAGAATAGGTAAATCGAAACCTCGTTTCATGCTGTACTAGATAGGTTACATACAACCTATGATTAGTTCGGGTTCTCTAGTGCCTCAGAAGCGACCCCTACCTGATTGGTGAGATAAATTGAAATACATTTACCTATTTTTATTTGTGTATAATTTTAATTTGGTTTAAAGGTGGAGTATAAGGAATTCTGATTCTGTCAATCGAGTGCAAAAACACGTGTCAATTAATGCGATTTCGAATCGAAACAACATAATTCGGTCCAATTCTACAACATTTGGTTTGTAAAATACCTACCTACTGCCAATAAATTGTATTTCCAAACACATTGGAAATCGCTTTACATATAAACACTTAATTAAAATATATTAAAGACGTTAATAGTGTTTCACCCGTTATAATATCTTGGACATTGTGATATTAACATAGACTACCAATTGATAGTTAATTTATGGTATCAAGATGAAGCTGTAGATAAAACTTTAGATTTTTATCGAAACAGTAACACGAGGGCGAGTTCCAATATGTATATCGCGAATTTAGATATATTTGCCGATATAGCCGATATACAGGGTGATTAAGGTCAAATTCTAAGGTGAACGACAACTAACAACTAGCTGGGGTAATAAAATTAAAGTAACTTATATGGTCTTGATTAAATTAACAAAATGAGCTGGCTTTAGAGCTTTGATATTTACGTCGCACGTTTTATGGTTCACATAATTAATGAAGATACAGAGTGTAGTAGAGGTTATTCGGGGATTCAATAAATATTTACACCAACGTATCCTCGCTAATGGGAATGAGTGACAAGGGTGTTGTATCTAAAAACGGCTGCATTTTACTTTATTGTCCGCTTCATACGTTACGTATAACAGGTTGTTTTTTTTTTCTTTTAGACTTCTTTTTACGGCTACCCATCTTGCAATGAGAGTAAACAAGCATGAATATAGCGTAATTTGAAACAAAATTTAATTAAAGTCAAAAACAAGTTCCAAAGAAAAGTCACCGGCCACTCTCACAAAACTTGAGTATAAATGTTAAACGAGAGTTCACGATGACAAACGCCCTGTATTACATTATAATCATTCACAAAACCGGTCCACAGACCGAGGCGTGGTGAGCTATCAATATCCAATCACCCTGTATAAAACGGGCTTTCAAGGTGAATGTCATGTTACAAAACGTACCATATGAATAACATTATCCGATGATATAAGCAGATGAAAAGTGAAAACTAGTCAAAATAAAACATGTCCGCGCGTGCGCACTTTCGCCGCATCGGACATATGAATAGAAAGTCACAAAATCGGCATTATACGCCTAGCGATTAGTGGTAGGGAGTTTGATAATAGATTTCCAAAAATAACTACAAAAAGTTGAAGATGAATCTGATTGCTAATTACATAGAGCGATTCATTTACAGAGATAGAAAAAGATGATGTTAGTTAATTTTGGCAAAATGTCATCGTATGCTTATAATATGTAAAAATATCTTTAGAACTAAGTCTGTAAATTATGTGCGTCATTAATATACATATAAAAAGAATCTTAAAGCCCTTGCGTATTGCGCTTTTCAGCAAATTATGGCATGAAAATTTTATTTAGTTTCACGTGACAAGAAAAATGTTAGTTGTTATTGTATAGAATTGCTTACATTTCCATGGGCATATCAACTGAAGTCGACGGAACTAAAACTGACATACTTACCAACAATACATTGTATACTGTCAGTGTCAGCGTCAGCACATTAGTCTAATATACATTTTTGTAGAAAATTACCACATAATATAACTACATAAGATTGTATTTAGCTTGATGAGCAACCTCCTAGATTATCGCGAATTATAGTTACCATCTTATGAAATCTTAGTTCGTTTCAGCCAAAAGACGTCTACTGCTGGACAAAGGCCTCGCCCAAGGATTTCTACAACGACCGGTCCTGTGCCGCCTGCAACCCTCACCAGATCGTCGGTCCACCTAGTGAGGGGCCGGCCCACACTACTTATCTTATTCCATCAAAATTCCAAACTTCCATAACCAAGTCTCTATCCAAGCACGAAGATCAAGTTCCAAGTTATCCAGTTCGGACACTTTCATAGAAAGTACGTGTCATGTGCCGTTTCACTGAACATTTAACTTGCGAGATTTAATTTGACAATGACCATGTAACATGATTAGAAAACTTTGTCTACTATGAAAGTGCTGGGTTTAGTGTTTAAACGTAGGCGTCGGAAGATAGAAGAAAACCTTATCCGACATGAGAGAAAACAAGTCAAAGCGTCAAGGTCTAGACTCTAGAGTAGAGAGACAGACACGCGATTGAACAAGATCTATTTTAATATTGTCTGAGGAATGACAATCGCGCAAGCAGAAAATTGACAGTAATATTCGACCATTCGACAGAAGTAACCAGATATTACCTTATTTCATTTAGTAACATGAAAGTGAGTACCCACCCTAATCTAGGTAATTCCCAACACTGCATAATCCTCAATACGTTTATTCTAGAAGTGTATTGTCTCATTTAACATCACCTCATGGCAATACATATTTGGAAATCTCTATATCATTAAAACTCAATTAAGCTCCAAGCTCCTCGCATGAGCATATCAAATAACAAATACTCTTTTCCAATACATTTGCAAATCAAATGCACACGAGTCCGCCAAATTGGCGTAACTGCACGCACCAAATCACGTCAGCGCCAATCCTCAGGGAGATGCCTTAATGATGGGGGTACGGTATCCAAGGAAATGCCCTCAAGGCGGACTTATGCAATTTGAATTGCTCAAATGCTGCTGGTTTTGGAATGCTTGAAATGAGGATCTTGAATTCTTGATGAATCAGATAGGTTTCTGTTGATTCATCTTGGTCAGATGACACGTATAGGTTAATTGGCTGCTCTGGAATGCTTACGACTATTAGTAAGAATGTCAGTCTTCTTGTATTGTGTAGGTCCTTTATTAGCAAGAACTTGGAATGTTATATTGTTGATTTTCATCATCATCATCATGATTTCAGCCACAGGACGTCCACTACTGAACACAGGCTTCGCCCGGTTGGTAGCGGCGGCCTGCATCCAGCGCCTTCCTGCTACATTTATGAGGTCGTCGGTCCACCTTGTCCTACGTTGTTAATTTTATTCAGGCCAAAAAGAAAAAGTTGTCCAAAAATCTCAATTATTGTAGACATAAAGCAATTGGCGGTTTAAAATATACAGAAGAATAAATTTTTATTATTATATACCTCACATAAGTATAGTATAGTTTCCTAGCGGTCTTCATACCAGCTTCCACGGAATGCCATAAGAAAATGTCATCACCATTACAGTTTAGCGTAATTGTTGCACTGATGCATTCGGAATGGTTGGGGCCATTGTAGACGAACGCAGTAGACTCTCTGTAGGTCCAAGTCTGTTCAACTGTGTACTCAAAACATAGCGCGTTTCGTTTCTTCAAAAATTTTTCTGTATGACGACACTGCTGGCTTTCAAAAAAGGCAGCCAACGAATTGGCAATTCCTCTGAAGATAATGATTATGAATATCACACTATATATATATTTCCTTGACCAAGTGTAAGCTTCGTCGGTAAAAGGGTCCCGCCAATTCTACCTTTCCTAATTTTGCATTTCTTTTAGTTTAAGTGCATAATGCTGATGATCTGCCTTAGGTACTGCAGAAATAATGAGCCTTCCGCCTGGCCAGCGTGGGGAGTGTTCGTTCGTTTCAGTCAAATGACGTCCACTGCTGGACAAAGGCTTTCCATAACAACAGGGACCCCTATTAGGTGGACTGACGATCTGGTGAAGGTCGCAGGAAGTAATTGGATGCGGACAGCGCAGGACCGGTCGCTATACGGGGAGCGTAGACTCTAGTAATTCGGAGAGACTCGTGCAAAAGCAAGCATTTACTTAAAATTAACTGAAAATGATGCACAAGAGAGGCTACCGTCTCCATCTCTATCATAGTGACCACATTAAGGGCAGTGTGCCGGACACATTGGGGCCGGTTATAAATATGACGCGTCAAGCTCAACG